ATGGCCGAGGGAACCCTTCTGCCTGTGTGCAGAGCCTTCCTTTTTCCTTCCTCTGGATATGTCGCTGTTCATATGGACAGAGAAAGGTCCAGTTTATCGTCTCGGGCGGGCTGCGCCGGGGCAGAACCATGTGAGTTATTTCCTGTCCCAGCGGTGGTATCATGGCTGTGGTGCTCAATGCGCCAATCTATATGGTTACATCAGGTGTAAAGTGGGCAGCAGGAAGAACTTCACCAGCATGGCCACCTCATATCTGGGAAAGCAGTTTTTAAGACAAGTAAGTGTTTTCTGGATGTAATCAGTGACCAGTGCAATGATTTCTAAATTTTGTAGAGTTTAATTTTTGTTAAATTCTTCTTAAAAAGTTTTTTAAAGACCCATAGTTATTTACATATGAGATAATAATAAAGATGTTTTAATTGCTTTTTGGAGGCCTTTAGGACATTCTAGAAATGTATTGTCAATGTCTTAAAATTATTTTAAAACCAGGAGGGATAAACTATCATTGATAATAACATTTTTTTAAAAAATTACTTTTTTAGGTACTTTCTATTAGTTGTGGTGGCTTTAAATAAATATTCTTGAAGAATGTAAATTATATGGTTTTAGGGCTGAAACATAATAAAACTATATCATTCAAGATTGTTTTAAAGTACTCATATTTCTTTCCCCCAAAACATAAATGTTTTTACTATAATTCCCCAATATCAGGGTTTTCAGTGGGATAAGTAGTAGTCATAGATAAATAGTTATTGGTTAGATCTCTTGGGAAAATTGACTAGGTCTTTATATGAGGAATACCTTGCATTTCTTTAGTGCAGTAGGTTGGGCAAGTAGTGTTAATATACTAGTGTTAATATACTTATATAGGACAGGGTTCTCACTTGAACATGCATCAGAATCACATAGAAGGCACAAGGTTGCTGGGCTCCACCCCCAGGCTTCTTATTCAGTAGATCTTGGGGTGGGGTCTCATAATGCACATTTCTGACAAGTGTCTGTGGTGCTGGTCCAGGATTACACGTTAGATAACTAAATTCCTGAGAGATATTAACTGACTTACTCAAGAATATACAGTTAATAAGTGGTACAAAGCTAGGGCTTGGTTGGACCCAGCTCTGTGTACTCAGAATTTATTGTTCTTTCCATTCTACTGTAGTTTCTTTTATAAAAGATAAGAAGTAGAGAAAACACATAAACCTTTTCTGTGGTCCATCTTAGGGTAGTTTTCATGCAGTGCTTATTATGTTTTTTCCCCTCAGGATTTTCAGTGTTTCTGAAGGTAGGGAGAGACAGTATAGGTGAAATCGAACCTTGAGCCTGGTGTAACATGATTAAGGGGTTAGTGTCTTACATGGCACCTGGAGATTCTCTGCTCAAATGGGATGAGCTGGACATCTGGGTGGGTGATGGTATCCATGGGTTTATTTCTTCAGCTTGTCTACTTTTTAACATGAATGGGCCGTTGAATGTAAGGTAATGTATTAACAGTAGCTGGCTCTGCTTAGAAATAGGGAATGTTTTCCTAGGCCTGGTACTTTGAAGGCCAAGGTGTGTGAAATAACTGAATATTAAGGAGATTTTTTCTCTTTTGCAGAACACTGGAGATGATCAGACTTCCTGAATAAAGAAAGAAAGCTTACAAATTTTGTTACATTGGGGAACAACCGAAGAGATTCTTGACTGAACCTTTTAGAGCTCAGTCCGTGTTGTAATAAGGAGTTTTGGGTTTGTTTTTCCACTTAACACTTTTATTTAAAAAAGGAAAAGTAATTTTCCATTAAGTTTTTATTTCTTTCTGTAGTTGGGCTAGAAAGTGTGTTGTGCGCTAGAAACATGTTTAATTTGTCTTATGGTATATCATGATGTGCATAGTTATGTGTATCATATATCCAAATTAATGAAAGGTGTGTTCATTTATTAATAACAGAGACCGTTTCGCTTTGATCCATAAGAGGATGTTCTTATTTATCTCCAAGCTCTATGATGTTTTACATATACTCTGTGTAGATTATGGTGAGCAGCTTTGGCTTATTTTGTTAAAATATGACTTCATGGTAAATTTTCTTAGAATACCTACACAGGCAAGTAAAATCCAAATTTGGGGCTAGGTGGTGTTCACCGTAGTTCTAAGTTTTATTTATTTGTAATAAGTCATTTACTTATGGCCAGTTAACATAATGGAAAAAAAAATTCTTCCAACAGTTTATGTTTAAAGGATAGCAAGGTTGCTGCTGTTTATTTATTTTACGACAGAGAATAACCAGATTCTACTCTTGAACTCCTGGAAGCTCTTTCAGTGATCTTGGGCCTAATAAGATCTCTCCTTTATCTAAAAAGAGCATTATTCTTATTCACAACAAGAATAATCCTTAAGCAGCTTGCAGAACTTAAATGCATAAAGATTTTATTTTGAATCTTTTTTTTTTGCTTAATGGGGATAGTGTCCAAATCATACTTTTGTATTATGGTATTCTCTTAAAGCAGGTATATTTACTGTAAACTAACCAATTTACAAACTAATTGTCAGGCATTGTAAATTCTGTTGTATGTACTGTAAACTTTGGTGAATCTTTAATCAGTAGACTTATGCTGTGAATAGTATTTGTAGCATTGTTAACAATATTTTTTAAGATGTTTATTGAATAATATGCCTTTATTGTAAGTGATACTTTGAAGGTGCAACTTTATATTTCGCATAAACTGCTAGCTGTTTACCACAGGTATTTGACAAATGTATTCATTTACCTCATGCCAAATATGTGGCAGCCTCAGATTATGAAACTGAACTTTCAGATTATTGCAGTGACCTTTCCCGGGAAACAATATGCAAGGATATTTATAGATATAAAACGGATAATTGATTACTATTTTTGAGGAAATATTTGTCTGCTAAAATGACTTTTCTTAAGAAGTCATCAATTTATTAGTGCTTGTTTTTGCCATTTTTCCTTATATTCAGCTATTCCATCTGGTGAGATAAGTTGGTATTCAGGCATTAAAGCATGTTTTTTATTTAATTTGAAAGACTCTAACTTAAATCCTTTAGGATTGAGATTCATTGTCAGGTGATACATTGATGATAGTTCTTGAGTACTGTTATTTGAACCTAAATCCTAAACCAAGTAAGAATTAATTTGGAACATGCAATGTTGTTCCATGTATCCCTAATATGCCACTGCTTTTCCTCCTACCCCAGGTTCTCAATTAGCTTGGGGCCATGGCAATCTGGAAATAAAGATAATTTTCTGGATTTTATTGCTACAGCTTGATAATGGCCATGGTGACTAAATTCTAGCCAATGATTACATTTCCAGGAAGTATCCTTAAAAGGAGGGGTAATACCATCTCCTCCTTTTTTTCTCCTGCTGGCAGAAATGTAGACAGAGTAGGCTGAGGCTGGAGCCTGCCACCATTCCGGAGCCGTGGGGTACGAGCAGAGAAATGAGGTAGAGATTGTCTGAATCCCAGCTGATGGGCAATGGCAGCTCTGAACTGCCCTATCTAAATTTTGAGAAGAGAAAGGTCTTCCAAGTGTTAGTTGTTCTGCTCTCCTGGATGCTCATGCCCAGCCTAATGAATTCTTGTACCACGATGCACTTGAGCCATTACTGTACTTGTTTCCATTTAGTACTACCGTATTTGAGATATAGGATATAGTAAATACATATTTGCGTTTTTGCTACGTAATTTAATTAAGTGACTTACAAGTGCTGACGAGTTTTACTGTTCCAGATGCTTGTTGCTGCCATAAAAAATTCACCCCAGAAAGTTTAGCAGTGTACAACTGCTCATTTTATTCTAGAAATCTGTGGGACCAGCATTTGGAGGAGGCACAGTGGGGATAAGCTTTTCTTTGCTTCAACAGACCTCTGGGCTTAAGCTGGAAGATTTGAAGGCATGGGTTTGACCTGACAGCTGGAGCAGGAGTCATCTAAGGTGTCTTCAGCCCGGGCCTAGAGGTTAATGTTGGCCTAGGCTGGGATCCCAGCTACAGGCTGTGGGTTGTAACATCTATGTTGGTGACTCTCCTGTGTGATTTCTGTGGGGCGCCTTATCCTGGGCTCTTCAAAACCGAACACTGGTTCTACCAGCCTCGAAGAGAGCAAAACCAGCAACTCCGTCGCCTCCTGGCCTTGAAGAATAATTCTAAGATTGTATATAAAACAGTGAGATACGTATTATTTCGATTTTTGGTAAAAAACAAAAAGGAAACACCTTAAACCTTTTAATATTTCATCCTCTTATTAAGAAGGAAAGAAACATAGAATTTCCTCGAAGAAGTCCTCGAATTTAAATGCCAGAAAAAGTATCTTAAATATAATTCTTTCCCCTACTGTGATTCATCATGGTAAGAAAATCAAGTAAGTAATGGAAAGGGCTCTTATCCCACCTCCTCCCAATTCTCTTCGCCTCCGAGAACTGCTTTCTGTTTATACTTTTGGCCATAGTTACGTTCCATACCACTAAATATATAGTTTGTAGTGCTTACCAGTGTTTCCTGGACTTATCAACTTTAATGTATTAATTGCTCCGCTTTCCCTGGCTACAAAAAAGGTAAAGATTTACTCAACCCTCCCCATATAGGAGGCTTCCAGCAGTAGTTTTTTTGTTCCAAGTGTTTGTATACTAAATGTTGGTCATCAGAATTTATTTTTTTTTTAAGCCCCTCAGTTATTATCTTTTGCACCGTGTTGGTTTCCCTGTTAGGAATTAGTTTCACTTGCAGAACAACGAAAATCCCACCCCAAATAATACGGCTAAAACAAAAAAACAGTTTGTGTTTTCCTCCAAAGGAAGTCTGGAAGTCCACCAAAGGCCAGCTGCCTGCTGTCAGTGCAGCTACTTAACAGTTCGCATCAGGGACCCTGATGCTGCTACCATCCCCTTAGCTGGTTGTCTGTCCCGATGCTTGTCTCATGGTCACAAGATGATGTCACAGTGAAAATGACACATCTATTTTAAGGAACGGAAAAAAGAGCGAAAGCTTTTTTTCAGTTTTTGTTCGCGTCATATCAGAAAAGTAAAGCTTTTCTCAGAAATCAACCCAGGAAACTTGCTTGCTGCTTCCATCTCAGTGGCTAAAATGGTGTCCCCAGGTGTAAGGCAGTTTGGGAAAACGCAGTATTTTAGGTTGACATGTGCTTCTACGCGCGCTGCCTTCCCGAATAAAGGAGATTTTTGTTAGTAAGGAAAAGGGGGAAGGGGACCATTGGGTAGGGCAGCCTAGCAGTGTCCTACCCGCACACTTCTCCAGTGGGGTTCTGTGGCAGAAGGAGCGTCAGATGTGCATGTGGTGGCGCTAATGCCGCCCAGTGTTTCACTGTAAAACGCGTTCCTGTCTGCACAGCATCTTTTTTAGCCGCAGCTTTTGATGCAAAGCCATTAGCAGCTAACTTGGAAGATAGTTCTGTGAGGGTGTAGGCTTGCTGTACTCTTAAGGATGTATCCTGTTAATGTGAATTCAGGGTTTGGATTTAGACTGTCCAGAGCGGCAGTGGCTCGTGGGGATGGAAGCCACCCCACGGTGGGGTGTTTTTGTAATCTTGGGGAGTGCCTGGCTAACAACGTGACTGATGAGAGCTGCTGATGTTGTAGTTGGGTGGAGACTAGGGATGCATCAGGTGCGCTGGATAGGAGCGCCTGTGTACAACAAAGAAATTTCTTGTATCAATAAACTTCTTGTGCTCCACTGAATAATTCGTGTACATGGAAATCCCGTTTATAATGAGAAAGGAAAAGCAGTCGACTACAGACCTGTCATCTGGAAGCTGACATGGCCCTAACACTAGCCCAATCAATCTTGTTGAACATCAACATTTTATAGCCGCACCAACATCCAAAGCAATGCCACTTCTGACTGTGATAAGAGCAAGACAAAGTAAGTCACCCATAGTCTACGTGGGGGGGCATAGAAACAAGATAGTGTGCAAATTATAACCAACTAGACATCCCTGTTTTCTGGTGTACATGAGTGACTGGCCGGTGCTTTGCTAAACTGGCAAAGCTTGACGCATTCTGTTTTTCTGTCTTTTAGATTAAAAATTTTAAGATATTCCCTCCGAATTGCCTTGCATTCTGAAAGCAACCCAATCCAGGAGGTCAAACAATGATGCAATTCATGGAGGCCCGCTTCCCTTGCATCAGCCCTATAAGCCCAAATCTTATAAACGAACTCTTCCTAGCACGCGCCATACTGGGTAGCCCCTATGGTCCCATGGTGTGTGGCTTCATTGTGCAAAAAAAGCGCTATAAACGCCAACTTGATTCAATCACGGATCTTTTCCTTGTAATTTCTGGCTGGTTGGGCAGCTGATAATAATCATCTTGAGCCTGGACTATAACTCAATCTTACCATATAAAAATTACATTTCACATTTTTAGTGTGCCAGATCTGCAATACCCAAAAAGGCAACTACCAATCAAGTGAGGGGAAAGGTTGTGTTTTGTTCAGTATTTACCAAAAGCTGGTCCATTTTGTAGACTGTCAACAGTGGTAACACTGCTTGTGGCATTTGAGTTGGCCAAATCAAAACCTTTTGCAGTAGTCTGCATTGTAGTGACCACATTAACAATATACATATTTGTAGCACAGAGCATGCTGATTGTCGGTCTTGGGGTTGTGGCCA